TAGACATGAGTGGCTGCGCCTGGCTTGCTGAAGCAGCCAGAGGCCAGCAACGTACCCTTGTATTTGCTTCTAGTTCCCTTTTGCTGGAGCTTGAACACGGGGCTTTGCATGTGCTCTGTCACGGAGCCACCCCTCCAGTCTGTGTTTGCTTTTTGAAATGTGAACATACTTACTGCCTATCAAAAACAAGCTGATAAACGGTGGAAGGAGGAAGAGTGAAAGTTCTGAAACCAGGCAGCTGAACCCAAGGGAGAAAGGTTCCTTATCAGTGCCTGTTCCTCATCCATAGCTTCCCTCAGAGACAAAGGTGGGAGGAAACCAGGCTGGCCTCTGGGTGGGAATTACGCCACAAAATGTAGACAACCAAACTTGCCTTCAGGCTAGAGGATAAAGGTTCCCAGCTTTTGGTTAAATTTTTGCAACTTCCCAGACACTGGGTGACTCAGGGTTGGCCCTGGAGTGGAAAAAAGAAAATGATGGACTCTGACAACTTTAAAGAAGAGACTAGGTTTCCAGGATGTGTTCATTGTATCATGATAAGGAAAAGAGCAGATTCAAGGGCTATGTCAATGTCATTGTTTCAGGGTTGGAATAGGGAAGTGTTAGACCATCTGCCCCTTCAGTTGGAGCCAGATCACACAGCTTGAAGAAACATTAGGCCGACCACCCTCCCTTCTCTGGGACATTGAGATAGAAATTGTTTGTGCTATGGTTTTACAGTCCCTAATTTACAGTTCTATCCAATACCTGGCTCCTAACTGTAGTTCCATAGTGAATCATATGGTGTAAAACATCCTATAACCCTGGAAAGGATATAAAAGACTCCTCCCACCATCCTGCTCACAATGGCTCTGTTACTATTACTTTAAGCTATTTGTCTTAGGCAGTCAGATGGCTCAGCCAGTAAAGGTGCTTACCAAAAACCTGAGTTATATTCCTGGAACCCACTGTTTCCACAAGTTGTCTTCTAACTGCCCTGGCACCTGCATACTCCACCCTTCCCCCCCCCCCCACAAAATAATAAATAAATAAACAAATGTTTTCCAAGAAAGGAGAAAGGAACTGTGCATGGTGGCGCATGCCTTTAATCCCAGCACTCAGGAGGCAGAGGCAGAGGCAGAGGCAGAGGCAGAGGCAGAGGCAGAGGCAGAGGCAGGTGGCTCTCTGAGTTTGAGGTCTATAGAGTGAGTTCCAGGACAGCCAGAACTACATAGTAGAGAGACCCCATGTCTTTGTCATTGATCTATTATTGTGAAGAGACACATGACCAAGGCAACGCTTATTTAAAAAAAAGTATTTAATTGAGAGCTGGTTTCCAGTTTCAGAGGCTTAGTCCATTATCATTACAACAAAGAGCATGGCCCCAAGCGGGCATGGTGCTGGAGAAGTAGTTGAGAGCTACATCCTGATCTGCGCACCAAGAGAGAGATACTTGGCATTGGCTTTTGAAGCCTCAAAGCCTGTCTCCCAATGACACACTTTCTTCATTAAGACCTCACCTCCTAATCCTTACAATCCGTTTATATGGTGCCACTCCCGAGTGATTTAGACAAGCCTGTGGGGGACATTCTTCGTTGGAGGAAGGCCCAACTGTATTTTTAAGTGCTGATTTCAGTGCCTTGAGATTTGGTTACTTCCTTACCATGGGCATTGTTATTGATGCTAAACCAAAAACCAAACCAAACCAAGCCAAACAAACAAACAAACAAAAAATTAAAAATAGGGAGAGAAATGACATATTAAAATATTAACTATTATGATCCCAAGTGAAAAGTATATGGGGATTTACTGCATATTTTTGCAATTTACCTGCTGGAATTCCAAAAACAAAACAAACAGAAACTTTAAATAATTAAAAAACTTTTGTTGTATTTATTTGAGAGAGAATCTCACTGTGTCCTGGAACTCACTATGTAAACCAGGCTGGCTTTGAATTTACAGAGCTCTGTCTGTCTCTGATTCCTGAAGGCGGTGGTATGGGTAACCATGCCCCAAAACTTTTAATCTAATAATTTTACTTACCATAATGATGATCAGTCCACACCTGTCACTTATGAATATTCATCTCCTGCTCAGTGCTTTTCACATTGCACCATATTCTAGAAGGGTCCTCTGTCTTCAGTTCACATTGGTCACTGTCTAAGAGATCTGTGGCAGAGGGGACAATTTCCAGGCTGGGGCTCAAGTCTGTTTGTTCAGACCGAGCAGCAGGGTCCAGTCTCCCAGCTTGTAGCATATACCTTTTCTGAAGTCCACATCCCTTTGAGAAAGATGGTGGAGGACCTTGCCCCTAGAGGAAGTCCTTACCACTCTCCTCTTGACAGCCTTTGAAATCCCTACTTCAGTCCCCTAACAGGACTATGTTTGCCAACAGTAAATCTGTTTGCTTTGGAAGGATCCAAATGAGCTTCTTCTACTTCTCCCTTGGCCAAGAGGTTCTCCCATTCTATCCTCTCAAGGTTTTTAAAAACATCCTTGCATTCACTGTCCTTTATGGAGATTGAAAGGAAATGCTCAGAGTGTTTAACTAAATCATATGTGAATGATAAAGGCATTTTTACCACAGTTTAAAATTCAGTGTTTTTCAACACTGTTCATAGACAAACTGTATGAGAACCAATGGAAGCACTTGCTAAAAACGTTGATTTCTGGTTCTCTATCCAGATCTACTGGTCTCTGAATGTACGGCAGAGAATCCTCAGAAGTTTTACATGTATTGAGGCTCCTTTTGAGCTATTCATTTATCAACTGTGTGCAGACAGCTTATTTTCACTACTTTTGACAATAATATCTAGAAATTAAATCACACACACACATGCGCAGGCACACATAGCATATGCCTCTGTTTGTGTGTCTATCTTATTTCTTTTGGAGAAGAAAGGGCTTCTTTGGATTTTTTTCTTTTGCTCACAACTGGAAATTGAATCTGGGATCTCAGGCATGCTAATCAAGCCTTCTGTTTTTGACACCCTTAGATTCCAGAGTTTGTTTCTTGCTGGAAATGGTGACACACAGTATTTGGGAAAGGGAGGTAGGTGGATCAGGAATTAGGGTCATCCCTGGCTCCATGGTCAGTTTGAGACTAGTCTAGGCTACATAAGACCCTGAGCCAAACCAAAACCAAAACAAAACACCCTTCCCCCCAAAAAAGATAGAGGCCAAAGAGATAGCTTAGCTTGTAAAAGTGCTTACACAAAGCTTGATGATTTGAGTGTGATCTTTGGAACCTTCATGGCAGAAGGAGTGAAATGCCTATTACAAGATGTCCCCTGGCCTTCATAGGCACATACACCCAAATGAGTAAATAAATGTATTTTTTTAAGTGAAAAAAAAAAAAAAAGTGCCACCACAGGGGCTCAGTACGTAAAAGAGTTGAACAAATGTGAAGACTTAAAAGTTCAAGTCCCAGCACCCACAGTAAAAGCGAGACAGGCCTTCATACATCTGTAATTCCAGGTCTGAGTAGTGGAGACAGGTAGACCCAGGGAGCTTGCTGTCCATCCAGGATGGCTGAAAACAGCAAGCTCCAAATTCAGAGAGACCTTCTTCTCTCAAGGGAACAAGAGAGGGAATGTGGAGGAAGACACCTGACAAACTCCTCCAGTTCCTTGTGCGTGTACACACACATTTGCAAACTGCATACCCACACAATATAACAAAAATAAAACTCAACAGAGAGCTTGCTTCTTATATTGCCATTCTCCCTCAGACCCTATTACAAAACTTGTGATGCAGTAAGTTTTCAGAAAAAAAAAAAAAAAAGAAATCTGTGAAATGAATATAAATGTTTGAATTTAGTGGTTGTGGAAGATCTTAAGAATCATAATGGTTTGTCTGCACAGTGAAATATCTAGTAAGGGCGAACCTCAAATGAAGAATTGCTTCCCTCAGATCGGCTTTCGGCCATGCCTGTAGGGCATTTTCTTGATTGCTGCACCAACCCTAGGCATGTGGGCCTGGGCTGTAGAGGAAAGGTAGCTCAACAAAAGCCTTGAAAGCAAGCCAGTAAGCAGCAGCTCCTCTGTGGTCTCTGCTTCAGTTCCTTCCCTGAGTTCCTGCCGTGGCCTCCCTGGATGATGGCTTACATCCTACAAGCCAAATAAACCCTCTACTCCTCAAGCTAGTTTTGGTCAGTATTTTATGACAGCCACCAGAGCGAACTACAGCACCTAGTTTGTGTAATTAGGGATATATGGAAAGTGGACATGGCCCGTGGTGGTGTACACTTTTAATCCAGGACTTGGAAGGCAGAGCCATGTGGATCTCTGAGTTCCACGCCAGGCAGGCTTGGTTACTGACACGTTTCAAAATAAGTAAGTAAATAAGTAATAAAATATTAGTGAAAGGGGTTGCAGATAGTTTACGCGGAGTCATGACTGGTAGGCTGTGAAGCGATACGATGAAAACATTTTAGGATGACCAGCCTATCAGTTTTCATGGCGATTACAGATAAGGCCTCATAACCCTGCACATTCACTTAGAATTCCAAAATACCTACACTTTTAGCAGGGCTCATGTGAAGCAAATCCTGTTTCAGGCCACTTAGAAACCAAATCAGTGTAGATAGGCCCCCGATCACTGAAAGAATTCGATTAGAGGTCATTTTGTCAGTACTGGAGTCAACGTGAGATATCTACCCTGGCCCCAACTGCTGTCCTATGTAAGGCCTTGAGCACGGAGCCCTGGAGTGTAACGCCAGTGGCGATTTACACAGTGATCGCTGTAAACTCTGACCTCCCTTTACACACATTTAGTGTGCCAAGCCTCTCCGCAAGGAAGGCAGAGGTCACCATGCCCATTTTTATTGTTGAGCCTTTTGGAGCCTAAGGGGAACCAGTGACCCGATCCGAGTCTGGGGAACAGCAAAGCTGTAACACCGGTCGCGAAGCTAGAGGGGAAAAACGAGCTTCCGGGAACTCGGGGACCCAGGGTGGAGGGAGGGGAAAAGACGATCCGGAGGGCAGGCTCTCCTCGGTTAGAACTCGGCCCGCCCGTGGGCCGAGCGCAGAGTACCCTCTCCGGTGGTGACATTTGTCACCCGGCCGCGTTTAGGAGAGGGTCCAAAATCACGGTATCTGATTGGCACGGTCGGAGGGGCTGGACGACGCTGATTGGCTAGCTGGACGTCGGACCAGGCCTTACCCGGTTACGGAAGCCGACGAGGGCCGAGCGGAACCCCAGGTAGCGGCGCAGAAGGACCCGGCCCCAATGGCGACCCCAGAAGCCGGCGGCAGCGGCGGGAATGGCGAGGGCTGCGACCCGTCCGTCACCTACTACCGGCTGGAGGAGGTGGCGAAGCGGAACTCCGCCGAGGAGACGTGGATGGTGATCCACGGGCGAGTCTACAACATCACCCGCTTCCTCAGCGAGGTGCGGGTCCGGGAGGCGGGAGGCTCCCGCGCGCGGCCCGGGCGAGGGGAGGAGGCCACGCGCGGCCGCCCGGCGCCCGGCGCCCGGAAGGGACCGCGACCCCCTCGGGGACGGCAGTCTCAGCCGCGGGTGACCGCGTGCGTTTCTTAATGCGTGGAGCGCTTGCAGTAGGCTAGACACGCCAGACCATCGGCCCGTTTTCAATTGGGAGAAACTGAGGCTCGCAGTGGCCAAGAACTCTCGAGGGCACACACTGAACCACCTAATCCCCGCGAACCTGTTTCAGATTTGCTCCTTACCTTCTACCTTCCAGGAAGTGTGCTTTAAGAAGCAATGTCTTTGGGGCATTTATTTTCTTGAGGAGGAGATATATATATATATATAATTATGTATGTCTGCAGAGGCCAGACCCTAACCCCGGGGGCTGGAGTAACAGGAGGGTGTGAGCCTCCGGATGGGGGTGTTGGATACTGACCTTGGATCCTCCCAAAGAGCACAATGTGGTCTTAACCAATTAGCATTCTGTCCTGTGGAGCCGAGATTCCTTCCACTCCTGTTCCTGTATTAGGCAGTGGATTTTTGTGTGTGTTAAAGACAGGGTCTAATTGTGGGGTCCTGCCTGTCCTGGAACTCTATATAGACCACACTGGTCTTGAACTCAGGGAGAGCTTCCAGCCTCTGCTTCCTGAGTGGTGGGATTAAAGGGTGGTAGCCTGATTTACTTATTTTTTTTCCTATTTAAATTTTTCTCCACCTCCTACTTTGAGTTGACTTAGAAGCCTGAAGGCCACGAACTGAGCTTTTCTCTTCCTTTGCCATTGATTATACATTCCCTCACTTTATTTTTGTTTTTAAAACTTTTTAAGGTATTGAGGATAAAACCCGGGCCTTGTGCATATTAGGCAAGTGTTGTACCATTAAGATAAATCTCTGAACGCTCAACCCGTTTTTTTTCTTGTTTTGTTTTGTGGCAGGATCTCCATGCTTAGCCCTGGTTATCCTGAAACTCAATCTGTAGACCAGGCTGGCCTTGAACTCACAGCTCCACCTGCCTCTGTCTTCTGAGTGCTGGGATTAAAGGCATGCATCACCACAGCCAGGCTTTCAGCCCTTTTCTTAGCTCTTCAGATCAAATCTCATTACTCAAAATCCCTTTGAGACTGTTATGCAACAGATAATTTTTTCCCCCTTCCTGTGACAAGGTCTGATGTATCTCAGGCTGGACTTTATCTGGATCATGTAGTAGTCTATGAGGACCTTGAGCTTCTCAGCGCACGTGTGTGTGTCTTGATGCTAAAAATCCAGTCCTTCATGCTTATCAGGCTAATACTCCTGTCAGCTGAATTACATGTCTAGCCGTAGGTTTGACAAGTGTGTTGAGCCATATAGTCACCTCAGTAAAGAAATAGAACATCTTCATTCCCCTAGAATATACCCTCTTGTTCCTTTGGTGCTTTCAGCTAAGGGAACCAGTGATGAGTAGTGTCAAAGATTAGTTTGAAGGTTGGAATTTTGTGATCATTTTATTTTGTTATAGAATATTATCCTTATGGCTTATGTCTTATTATTTTTCATTCTTTTTTTGTTTGTTTGTTTTGTTTTTTTTCGAGATGCTTTCTCTGTGTAGCCTAGGCTCCTTTGTAGACCAGGCTGGCCTCGAACTCACAGCAGTCTGCCTGCCTTTGCCTCCCTGAGTACTGGGATCAAAATTGTACACCACCACACCCAGCTGTGCCTCATATCTTTTTATTTTTTATTTTTTTTATTTAATTTTATTTTATGTGCATTAGTGTGAAGGGTTCAGACTGGGAACTGGCATTACAGACAGTTATGAGCAGCCATGGGGGTGCTGGGGATTGGAAAAGCAGACAGTACTTTTAACCACTGAACCATCTCTCCAGCCCCGGCTCATATCTTACAATACAACTTTGTTTTGAGAAAAATTAATTTATTTTTGTGTGTGTGGTAATGGATATTGCATATGAAAGGCTTTTGCATATGCCAGGCAAGCGCTGCTTCTGAACTATTTCCCTAGAGTCAGGCCTTCCCTCCAGAGTCTCAGTGTGAAGTTTTGCAAAGGAGGACATTATGTTAATAATTTTTTCTAGTAGACAGTGAACAATATTTAAGAATTTGATCATTTCTTCCCATTTGTATAAGAGACTACTCTCTCTCCTATCCAAGGTTGGGAAATGAACCCAGGTTCCTCACATATGCTAGGCAAATAAAGTACTTAACCCCTGAGTGTCATTGTTTGTTTGTTTGAGACAGGATTTTACTCTGTAGCCCAGGCTAGGCACTAAACTCTTTGTAGGCCTCCTCCTACCTCAGCCTCTGGAGAGCTGGGATCACAAGTCTGGCTCTCTGGTTTGTTGTTGTTGTTGTTGTTGTTGTTGTTGTTGTTGTTGTTGTTCTTCTTCTTCTTCTTCTTCTTCTTCTTCTTCTTCTTCTTCTTCTTTTTTGAGACAGGGTTTCTCTGTGTAGCCTTGACTGTCCTGGAATTTGCTTTGTAGACCAGGCTGGCCTTGAACACACAGAGATTCTCCTGCTTCTGCCTCCCTGAGTGCTGGGACCACAGGCATACGCCGTGGTGCCTGGCTCCCAGAATTTCTTGATTGATTGAGCATAGATAGTGAATTTGGAAGGACCCAGATAAGGACATTGCCAGCCTATTTCACCATACAGGGATGTAGCTAGAGGTGAGATCTGGTAAACACAGCTTCCCTTGAATTTTGATATACAGATCTTTATCCACATTAGTTGTTTCTTACATCATCATCATCATCATCATCATTGATTTTTTTTTTTTTTTTTTTTTTAGACAGGCTCTTACACGTATTCTAGGCTGGCGCTTTTTGGCACCAGACTGGCTTTGAATTTGTGAGAATCCTCCTTTGTCCTTCTACCTTCCTGAGTGCTGAGATGACACGCTTGAACCACCATGCTCAGCTTGCCGTTAGCTGTTCCTGGTTAACTTGTTCCATAATCTCTATTGCTGTCCAAGCTTAGTCATTCATCTGTTTAATCAAATATTAAGCCTTTGCCTGGCTCCAGATCCTGTTTTTCGTACTAAGAGTACAGTAGTGAATAAATACTTGTGCCATCTAGAGTCTGCAGTGCATAGGAAATAGACAGGAAACAGTAAATGTTTGCATTGCATTCCATGGTTAGATAGGTGCTAAGAAGAAAGAAGATGGTCTATGTGGCAAAATCATGAAGATAAAGGGTTGAAGGCCAGAAATAGTGTAATGAAGATGACTAAAGGCCAGGAGTAAAGTGGAGGGAGCTAGCCATGCAGATACCCATAGGGAGAGTATTCCTGGAGGAAGGCAAAGAGGCCTTGAGGTAGGAATATGTCTGGTGTGTTTGGGCCAGTCAGTGATGATTCAGTGGTTGGATAGAAGCACCTGAGATCAGAATAATCAAAGGACCGATCATGTCCTAGAATGAACTTTGATTTCTGTTCTGAGATGGAAAAATCATTAGAGACAAAGCATGATATAATGCGATTTAATGTTTAGTTGGGTCTTTCTGACAGCACTACTGAGAAAGCAATGATGGAGGACAAAGGTAGAATTGAAGAGCATGGTTAAGGAAGGTGTTGTAATGAAGGCAAGGAGTATTGTCTTCGACCAGAATAGCATCAGTAGGGGTAATGAGAAGGATGCCGGTGCTATGATGGTTTATGGTGCACTGGACTCTAGAAAGGAATGAAAATGGAGTTGATGATGCCAGCGTTTGGAGCTTTTAGGATGTAACAAGCAGGGTCGCTGTTATATGAGATGGGGAAGACATATTTGATTTGCATCTCTCTTTCCAGTGTGAAATCACTTGGGGATTAGTGAAAGAACCTTGATTTGCTACCTTGAATCCATACTTTTGCTGGTTTTTTAATTAATGACTGTGGTTAAATTGGGATGTGGCTAGGATTTGAGATGGCTTAGAATTGGTAATATCTTCCCCTACCAGATTACTTTTATATTAAAAAAATCATTGCCATTGTTTTATGTATTAAGAGTTAGAAATGAAAAGAGTACATACCATTCCTTGTTGGGGTTCTCTGTGTGTGCATGTGCATGTTTTAATATGAAACAAGGTGTCATGCAGACTAAACAGGCCTCAAATTTCTAGGTTGTTGAAGATGACCTCTGAACTTCTGATCCTCTTGCCTTTACCTCCCAAGTGGTGAGATTGTAGGGTATGTACTTGCACATGGTTTGTGGGATGCTAGGGACTGACCCAGGGCTGTGTGCATTTGAGGCAAACCCTGTATACCGAGCTATAGCTTCACCCCATATCAGTGGTTTTCCCCCCTACTATTTAGTAGTTTAGAAAAATAATCATTGGGAAAAAATAGTGAAATATTTCATAACATTGGTCTGAAAATACCAACATGCATCTCTATTATCTACTATGTTTTTTCTGAAGCTTTATTCAGTTAGTTATATGTAATATGATATAGTGTTAATATATATAGTATATATTAAATTATAGAGTAAAATTATTTTCTTCCTGTGTGTTATAAGGGAAAACACTTGGACCAGTGAGATGGTTCAGTGGGTAAGTGTTTGCTAAGTAAGCCTGACAGCCTGAGTTAGATCCCCAGAACCCATTGTGGAAGGAGAGAACAGAAGTTGTCCTCTGATCTCTGCATGCATGCTATGGTACATACATGTTCGAGCACAGATACACACACAAACCCACATAGTAAGTAAAATAATTTTAAAAGATGAAGTGAAAGAACATAGAGCTTGTGTAAAAACAGCTTTCTCAGAAGAGGAGTTTAAGCTGGGTGTGGTGACCCACTGTAATCTCAGCATTTGGTCCTGCCTTCTTGAAGTTTCCATTCTAGGGAAGACAAAACAAAACTGATGAAATGATTGTAAACTCTGTCTCTGTGTATGAAGGAAACATACAAGAAGTCAGGACAGGTGTCTAGTGCATTGGTAAAGCACTTACGCAGTGTGCATAGGTCTTATATTCAGCCTCCAGTACTGGGG